TCATGACCTTTTAAACAATGACAGTAATCTACTAAAAAAAATTCACTCAAATGAGAAATATGCCAAAGAATAAAATAATATTATACATAATTTTTAATGTATTATATTTGTAAATTGTACTTATGTTGAAATTAAAAAATATATATTACAATACTATGTTTGCGTTCTATGAAAATTTTTGTTGCTCCATATAGACCAAATTTTTAATTAAGAACCCCCCCACCCCCGGTCAATGGTGTCCTGCTTTAACCAATGTTAAAATCTGGTCACCTTAGAATAAATACTTCCACAAAGGAAAGAGAAGGAAGAAAGTGTCCAGAAAGTTAGAAATAGGAAAGTTAGTGGAATTAAACCTTACCTGGTCTGGGGACAAAGCTGCAAGTGGTAATGACAGGGGACCAATCCAGACAGAAAGAGGGATCTCTCCAGGGAAAAGGAAGTAATTTGAGAAGGAAGCCAAAGAAAGGAGAAAGATTAGATGGAAATGAGGGGAAATTGAGGTCCAGGGTTGATAGTATCCATGGGGATGAGGTGAGTGAAACCAGAAGAGGAAACCAAGATGGGCAGAAATGGGGGCAGAGTGAGGCAGCACTGGGTGGCTGGTGGAGTGAACTGAAGTTAGTGTCTACCCAGAACCACTCCCTGGATCCTTAGGTGGACCTTTGCTCTACCACACCCAGCCCTGACAGCCTTTGTCTGCCAGGACAATTTTGTCTTCTGCTCTGAGCTACTAAGCTCCTCAGGAGTCCTAGGAGTCAGCCGGGTCCCATCCCTTTGGAGTAGCTGCTTCAAACTAGGTAGGTGTGAGGCCCTGGGCCTCAACTTTCTGGACATTGGGAGTGGGCTGTCTCCTAGATCTCACCATCTCTGTCAGAGGGGTAGCTGACAGAGATGCTGTTGCATGTCCTGTCTCCTGATAGACAGGCCCTCCCTATTGCATTTTTCCCAGCCCAGGAAGCTCCCAGCTCTTGTGGTCAAAGGCTCCATGGAGGAAAGAGCTGGTCAGCAAGAGCAGGAGAGACACAACCTTCGTCTGGAAAAGCTACAGCACTGGGCAAGGCACAGGAAGAGTGGGCACCTCTTGGTGCTGGCGGTGAGGCCACCCCACGTGTCAGCACACCCATTTGTACCCAGTTCAATTCCATCCATCCATGTTTAGTGAGCACCTACTATGTGCCAGAAACTCTGCTAGGCTCTGAGTGGGAGGAGGGAGGAGGAAACATAGAAATAAACAAGTCAAGATCCTTATCTCCAAGTAGCTTCTATCATGTGGGGAAAATATACAGGTAAGTAAACTACAGAATGAGGTAGAAAAAATGATATTTACTTTTTAGTTATCACCTCCTTCACTGCCCTTGGTTGACTACTTTCCTCCACTATGCATTCATCCCACATGCTCTGGAAGAGGTGGGGGTTGTGAGGAGGAAAGGAGATCTCTGACAGTTCCCTCTCAACTATCTGCCCTGTCACCCAGGTAAGCCAATTATGGCTGGCAGTAGCTGTGGTGCCCTTTGCTGTCTCAGTTGCCTGCCTGAACTCTGCTTGTCACATGGCCACAGCACTGCCTCTTGGGCCAGGAGCCTCAGTAAGACCTACCACAACAGGGTGGAAGGAAGGTTCTAAAGGCTCCTCCCCAATGGGTCCAAAGCTCAACACTTGCCCGTCTCACCATTCAGGGTCTCCTCACTGGGACTATCACCCTTGAACTTCGCAGAGCTCCCCGCCTCTGGAAGGTGAGAAAGAGAATGCAGCATTGTCCTCCCACCCTGGAAAGTAGACACACATATACTCCTCAGCCCAAGAAGTGATTCTCTAAGTGTTGACTCATCCTCTTAGCTGTCCATTACTGACTAGTCTAAAAGACTGATGAGGGAGAACAAGAAAGTTAGAGGGATGATGGCCCTGTTTGGAGGTGTAGAAGCAGGAGCTGAGGTTTTGGGGGGGTTTTGGAAACAGAGTCTCACTGTGTCACCCTTGGTAGAGTGCCTTGGCATCATAGCTCACAGCAACCTCAACCTCTTGGGCTCAAGTGCTTCTCTTGCTTCAGCCTCCCAAGTAGCTGGGACTACAGGCAAGTGCCACAACGCCCAGCTATTTTTAGAGACTGAGTCTCGCTCTAACTCAGGCTGGTCTCGAACTCATGAGCTCAGGCAATCCACCCACCTCAGCCTCCCAGAGTGCTGGGATTACAGGAGTGAGACACTGCACCCGGGCAGGAGCTGAGTTTTGTTTTCAGATAGGCTGCCAGTTGGGGCCTGAGGTTGGAATGAGTCTCCTAGACTGGGCAGGACTGAGCTGGCTCACTGGTAGGTCCAGGCTATGATGTCACTCAACACCTTCAACGTGATCTTGGGTTTCATCGTGGTGGTGGTCGAGGTGATGAAGACAGCCTTGGGGCCTGCCCTGACTACATCCTCCCAGGTATGGATGAATGAAGGAGAAAGGTGGGAGCATGAGAAGGCAAGAGGAGATGGAGAGGGAAAATAGCAGGAGCAAACAGGTGCTGAGTCCCTGAAGCATCCTCAGCCCTGTCTACCTGCAGTTGGCTGGCTTGCTGGTGCTGGAGCTTAGTGCTGAGGCCTTCACCCTAGTGGGAGTGTTGCTCTCAGTGCATGCCCTATTCCTGCTGAGCCAGAGGAAGCCCGGATGCTGCAGGAGCCAGAGTCTGCACTACCAGGAGCTGCAGGAGGTAATGGGGGCTGGGAGGAAAGCAGTGAAGTGCCAACTCATTCCACTGGCTATTCCTGTCAGTGGCACTTCAGGGAAAAACAATGGGGCAGGAGGAAAATGAAGAGGTCCTAGGTTGAAATGCATTCGCTTTCTCGCTTTGGACATTTCTCCCCTAATGATGGATAAGATGAAATTTGTTATCTAAATGATTGGGGATAGAAGAGTAGAAAAGCATTAGGAAACTGCCCTGTGGGAAACACAAGAAAAAATGGGGGAGGAGAAGCAACTGCTTCTCACTGGGGTTTTTCCTATCTTGTCCCTACAATTTGTTCACATCTCTGTCTGGTTTTCAGGGCCTCTCTGAGTTGGAGGAGGTTCCCAGTTTGGAGAGTGGTTCCACGTGGCCAGCACAGGAAACTGAACAAGTGAGAGAGCAGCCAAGGGAGAGCAGACAGGTTCTGCTCTCCTCCTACCCTGAGGGACCCCTCTCTTGACGATCCTGCACCCCACTCTACCGAAGTCAGAAGCTAGCTTTCTTGAGACCTGCATGAAACCTGATGGGATGCCTTTGGTTATTACTCAGAGTGGGAGCCTTTCCCTCACCTCGCCGCTCTGAAAAGCTGCTTCCTCCCTTGTAGCCTATCCTCATTCCCCACTACCTTTCATACAGCTTTACATCTGCCTTATCTCGCTATTCTCTTGTCTGCCTTCCACAATTCCATCCACTCCAAGCCCCGGTTCCCACACATGGCAACTCTCTGAATCCATTCCAGAGATGTTCCAGTTTCTCCTTCCATTCTGTCCCTTTCTACTCCAGCGGAGACTACAAGTCCCAGGACGCCCCGCCTGCCCCCGTGACCTGCTGGGAAATAAACACCCCTCCGCGGTGGGGGCGCTGTGCATCTGCAGAGTGACGCGAGGCTCTGGAAGTCAGGGCCTCGCCGAGAGTTTCCTCGGACGCGACCACTGGCCCGCGTTCGGGGAGGGGCTGGGCGGCCAGTCCTGCGCGGGGGCCCCGCCACCCCAGCCACAACAACTGAGAGCTAACTCTGGATCTATATCCCTCTTGCTCGAAGCTTCAGAGACCGACGAGGGCTAAAGGATGGCACTTAGCAGAACCGGGTTTTCCCAGAAGCTGTGGCCACCCCCTCGCTCGAGTGCCCAGGTCCAAAGTCCTGAGACTTGGAGCGCGCGCGAGAAAGGGGTTGGAGATGATGAGTCAGAAGCGCGGGCCCTTTCTTGTCCCCTCCCGCGGGGCCTGGGCGTCGGTGGAGGACAAATTCTCTGGGCAGGCGGAGGGAGGGACGTTGCCACCCGACCTAACACTTTCCCGCCTCTTGCGAGCACGCTGGTGTGACGAGCCCGCGCTGCCGCCACCCTTTCTCTCCAAGGCGGGATCGGGACTGCGCAGACTCGGCCTCTAAGCAGCCCCGCCGACCTTTGATCCTGGCTGCCGACGCTTAACTGAAGCTGTGGTTGCGCTCAGCCCCCACCGTTTATGACCTTTGCAAGTGTGCTCGGGTGGGCTTGGGAAAAGCCCAGGAAAACTGGGAACCCCAGTAGCCCCAGCTGGGTAGTGTACTAGCCACTAAAAACTAGAAACTGACCAGAGCTGGAGTACTAAGAGAACTCACCCCAAATTCATATAGTGCCCAGGATGGGTGCTCGCCTCACACTCATTTTTGTTCCCACTGGAGAAGGCTTCTTTCCCTAGGGACCGCTGCTTCTCCAAGCTTAGCCAAGCGCAGACACCAGTGAGGACAGAGCGCAGCCTGGCTGCCTTGCCTTGACATTGCAGTGGCGCCTTGGGAGTGGTAATAGTCTTCTTGCGACAAGGTTAAGTGTGAAGACTAGTGGGTGGGGACAGTTTTGCATCAGGCTCTGGAATGGAGAAGAGATCTGGGCCTCCCTCTTTTCTTCCTCCCTCCAATCTTAACTGCCAAAATAAAGGAAAACCAATAATCAAGGTCCCTGACAAAATAATTTTCTTCAAAGTCAGAAGGTAGTAAGCAGATGAGGAAGCTGAGGGAAGAAAATCAACAGTTTGCTTCCGCTTTTAGTTATTTGATCAGAAGTCTAGATATTGTATTCCAGTTTCTAGAGACGCTCCATGACCATGCAGAAGAGTCTTGGATTAGGTTAGGCTAGGTCAAGAACTGGTGGAGAACCGGTGGCATCAAGACCACACATGGCCCCCAAGCCTGCAGGTCCTCCACCTGGTTATGCTGTGGTAAATGCCAAAACTTAAGTGGCGTAAAACCACAAAGGTCAGTTTCTCATACTACCTGTCCAAAGTAGGCTGACAAGGGATTCTGCTCAGGTCCCCAAGTTGATGGAGCACTACCATTTTGAGATCCTAGCAGTGTCACCATGAGGCTTAAGGTTACCTACCTCATAATGTGAAATAAGCATGAAGAATCGTTCATGGGCTCATAAATGCTTCTGCCCTAAAGGGATAAATATCACTTCCACTCACAGTTCATTGGCCAAAGCAAGTCTTGTAGCCACACTGGCCACAGAGGAGGCAGGAAGGGCAATCTTCTTGGATGTCTGGAAAGTGAGGGGAAGCAGAAGTACTTTATTAAAAGGAAAAAGATTAATCATTTGAGGTGATTCTTGAACATTTTAGTGGTTAAAACTCATCTGTTCCAACAATTATGCCCAGATCTACTTTGGTTTGGTTTCAGAAGCCCCTAAGTGAAGTTCTTATTAACATTTTTTTTTTCTCAAAAAAGATTGGAAATCTAGATTCTGATTCTGTTACTTGGGCAAGTGAAATCTCTCTCTGAACTACACTTTGCTCATATGGAGATCATAATATTTATCCTCTACTCGAGCAGCAAGGCTAAAATAAAATCACACATGGGTAAGTACTTCAAAACTATAAAGCACTTCAGGGGTTGAAAATAAATTATCTGCAGAGGGAAGAAATGGTTTAAATGAGTGAAGGAGATTTGAGGTAATAGGGAGTGGTGGGAACTGTGGCAAACAAAAAGCACACATTCTACTTAAAGACTTTATCCCCCCGGGTGGTGCCTGTGGCTCAAAGGAGTAGGGTGCCAGCCCCACATACTTGTGGTGGGTTCAAATCCAGCCCCAGCCAAAGAAAAAAAAGACTGTCCCCACTCAGCTCTGCCTAATTTATTATCATGTGGGACTGTGGACTTGGTTGTGACATAGCTCTGGTTTTCCTACAGAAGTCAGAAGTTCTGAGTTTTAAAATGTGAAATCGCCTGTAACCCCAGCACTGTGGGAGGCAAGGTGGGCAGATCGCCTGAGCTGAGGAGTTCAAGACCAGCCTGAGCTAGAACGAGACCCCCACCTCTAAAAATAGCTGGGCATGTAGCAAATGCCTGTAGTCCCAGCTACTCAGGAGGCTGAGGCAAGAGGATTGTTTGAGCCCAAGAGTTTGAGGTTGCTGTGATCTATAACACGACAGCACTCTACCAAGGGTGACAAAGTGAGAGTTTGCCTCTAAATAAAAATAAATAAATAAAATGTGATGTCATCTGATTTTAGAATGTTGATAATTTTTTAAAATCAAGAGCCAGAGCTCAGCTCCTGTAGCTCGGTGAGTAGGGTGCCAGCCATATACGCCAAGGCTGGCCGGTATGAGCCCGGCCTGGAGCCAGCTAAACAACAATGACAGCTACAACCAAAACATAGCCAGGCGTTGTAGCAGGCTCCTGTAGTCCCAGCTACCTGGGAGGCTGAGGCAAGAGAGTCACTTAAGCCCAAGAGTTTGAGATTGCTGTGAGTTGTGACACCACAGCACTCTACCGAGAACAACATAATGAGACACTGTCTCAAAAAAAAAAAAAAAATCAAGAGCCAGATTCAGCCTGTAGTTCTTCAATTATCAGTTTCATTATATAAACATACACAGGAATTCGTGTTTTGGATATACAATATAGTTACTGTGTAAAGTTCTTAAAATCTTTTTTTTCAAATCATATCCTTCTAGGCCCTAAAATCTAGGATATTTGTTCTCAGGGAGGGATCATTTTGTCCCCCACAGGATATTTTACCATGTCTGGAGACATTTTTGGTGGTCACAACCAGGAGTGAGGATCAAGGGACTATGTAACAGCTGATTAGATAAGAAATCAGAAAAGTTGGGATATATATATATATATATTTTTTTTTTTTTTTGGCAATTTTTGACCGAGGCGGGATTTGAACCCACCACCTCCAGTGTAAGTGGCCGGCACCCTACTCCTTGAGTCACAGGCACCGCCCAAAAGTTGGGATTTTTTCATTTATTTCATTTTTTGAGACAGAGTCTCCCTTTGTCACCCTCTGTAGCTCACAACAACCTTAAACTCTTGGGCACAAGCTCCTCTTGCTTCAGCCTCCCTCAGCTGGGACTACAGGTGCCCACCACAACACCAGGCTATCTTTAAAGATGGGGGGGTGGCGGTTCTGACTCGAGCTGATCTCAAACTCCTGACCTCAGGCAATCCACCCGCCTTGTGAATCACGGTGCCTGGCCAGAACAATTGGGATTTAATGCCAAAGTTACTAAAGCCCCTTTGCTGTGCATTATTCTCTGCCAGCTGCAAGTGAAGACTCTTTGAGACTTGCCCTGTGTTCCTCATTATTCCTCCCTCCACACTGCCTGTTGCCAGAGCCCCTGGCTGCTTCATGACGGCATTTTGCTTTGCGGCAGCGCTTCCGAACAACCACTGTATCTGCCTCTTTTTTCATAAGTTAGCCTCCCTGGAGGTCATCATTTTCCAATGCGAAGGTCCACTCATTTGAATTGGAACTTTACAGAAAGAACTGTGACAAGGTTCTTGCTGACGTCAGTTTTTAAAGGCTGCGATCCCCATCTCTTGTTTTAAGCATTGGAGATCTCCAGTTCATAATACGTGGCTTCACATGCCGCTGAATTCTGTGATAGTTGGGAAATTCTTCGTGCTAATGAATTTACCCTTCTCCCTTTGAAATTCAGTCGTTTATTCCGTCTTTGAACGCATGGTTCTAGACAGCTGAAGATATTTCGCAAATGAATTCTCTTCCGTTTCTGGATCTACTTTTTGGCAAAATGGCTCAGCTCAGGTTGTTTGTCCCAGGCTGTGTCCTCTGCTGCCATCTCGTGGCCTCTTGGCTGCCCGGGTGGCGGTACCACAAAGCTTCCCCTACAGTAATGGCGTTTGCCAGTGCCTTACTTAGTTGGGGAATTTCCTCACCACGCTGTGGGCTCTCCCCAAATCTTCACCCTGCAACAAGTTCAGAGGGCAGAAGCACACGCGGTCTTTTGGGAAACTTGGGCTTTGCGATGAGGTGGAGGCGGAAGCCCCTCCTGATCATCTGCACCCCCTTGGGCCTTTTCTGTTATGCAACCCTGGCCACTTGCCACAGAAATCAGTGAACTCGACTGCCCCTGAGTAATTGGAACTGACCTGGCCTGCTTGGCAAGGCTGATGAATGCACCCTCTCCTCACTTGCCACCTGGGGCTGACATGCGCTTAATCTCAGTAAGAAATTAAGGTTTCTAGATTGTTTCTCTGTCTAGGCCCATTTTGTG